GAGTGGAATTTTGACAGTCGATAACTAATTTTTCAATATACAAATTACAAATTTTTCAGTCCCAAAAACAACAATTTAAATTGGAGACACAATCACTATTTCCTAATGTACAAGATTTCAAATCGATATTCATGAGCGTTTCAAATAAAACATTTGCAGGCGTGAGGGGTAGAAACATATTTAATTAATGAAGCCATATTTAATTAATTAAGCTGTTTCAACTTTTATTTGTGAGAATGCAACGGTTTCCAAAAAAACCAAAAAAAAAGCTTGGGAGAATTCTACGCACTAGCCCAAATTGAACAAATCATTTAAACAGGTCATTTTTGGTGGTCGGTTCACAAACTTCAAATTTATAAGGAAAGTGGGCGAGATCAGCTGTTCGGCTACCGAACACGTACTTAGGTTTCTTCAAATGGTGTCAAGCCTGGGGGTATTAAAGAAGTTGTGTGATTTTGACAATGGAGCTCATTTTAATAATTTTTCAATTTCAATTTTCGAATATTAATAGTATTGGCTAAAGCATATATATAATGTCGATCGGACAATAAGTCCCAATTTATATTTGGCAAGTTTTAATTGTTTGTAGGAGAGAAGGTCAAGGTGAATGGAAACGGAAATGATTGCTCGTACTGTACTGTAATTTAAAATGACGTACAAAGTAATGATGAAAATAATTTTCTGAGGAAAGATCTTTCTATGTATTTCAAATCAAAATAATGTTTTTGTCAGTAAATTAGTATGCGGGTGGGCTTACTAAGTGACATTGGTGAAGACTGTGTAGAAATAAAAGAAATTTGCATAGTTTGCGTTTTTATAAAAATATTTGAAAGCTCTCGTCCATTTCTGAAAATTGTTATTACCATCGGCGATACAACACCTTTACCATTAATGACGTCGTGTTTTTTTCTTTGTTGTAATCAAAATGCTTATTACAACGAATTTATGGATAAAATTTACCCAAAATTTGTGATGAAATGAATCTTTCGACATGATGACATGACAAAAATCTTGAACTTCATTCAGTTTTCGCGTTTTTGTTTATTTATTCAAAATATGTGCAACAAGATGTACTGTTTATTTAATAACTTGTTGCATTTGTTGATAGTAATTCTGACAATACAATTCAGGTAGGCCTCATTATTGGCAACTCTTTCCAACTTAGCCTACCTAGTCTTCATTGTACTCATGGTGGAATCAAGAAGGTAAAGTCATGCAAACATATGTTTACATTTTTTCCAAATTAATGCTTTGACAACCTCTCATTGTCAAATTTTATATTTATAAATCCAATGTAAATACACAAATCAGATGCTCTGTTCTAGAACGAGCAAGAATTCACTAGTTTTGCAATTTTATACCCTCCACCATACTATGGAGGGTATATTATCTTTGACATTCCGTTTGTAACTCTTTGAAATACTCATGTCAGACCCAACAAAGTATATATATATTCTTGATCAGCGTAACATTCTAAGACGATTTAGCCATGTCCGTCTGTCTGTTGTAATCACGCTATCTTTCGAACTAAATTGAGATAGAAGGCTCCCGATATTCGGTATTTTGATGATTTTAGCGACATTATTCACCGGAATTGTTTCAAATTCGGCATCCTAAGACAGAAAATTATCTGTGCAGGTCCACGTCTTCGTATAGTCCCCATATATCGGAACCCCCCGATATTCGGTATTTTGATGATTTTAGCGACATTATTTATCGGAATCGTTTCAAATTTTGTATTTGAAGTTAGTAATAGATACTAGATCCTACGTCAACAAATGAGCTATGTAGGTCCACGTCTTCGTATAACCCCTATATACCGTACCCTCTGATATTCTGTATTTTGATGATTTTAGCGACATTATTTACCGGTATTGTTTCAAATTTTGCATGTGAAGTTCGTAATGGATACTGCAGCCCATGCCAGAAAATTGTCTGTGCAGATCCACGTCTTCGTATAGCCCCCATATAACGGTACCCCCTATATTCGGTATTTTGATGATTTTAGCTACATTATAAACAGATTTTTTTTTTCAAGTTTCGCATTTAAATATTGTAATAACCTATGACAAAAGTTGCCTATGCAGGTCTGCGTCATCGTAAAGGCATTCAGTATTTTTAAGATTTTAACAGAATTTTTAACGGATTTTATTATTATTACTTTTTTTTATACCCTCCACCAAAAAATATGGAGGGTATATTAAGTTCGTCATTCCGTTTGTAACTCATCGAAATAATCATTTTAGACCCAACAAAGTATATATATTCTTGATCAGCGTAAAATTCTAAGACGATTTAGCCCTGTCCGTCCGTCCGTCCTTCTGTCCGTCTGTTGTAATCACGCTACAGTCTAAACGAATTAAGATAGGAAGCTAAAATTTTGCACAGATCTCTCTTTTGTCAGCAGGCAGGTCAAGTTCGAAGATGGGGTATATCGGTCCACGATATCGTATAGCCCCCATATAACGGTACCCCCGTTATTCGGCATTTTGATGATTTTACCCACATTTTCCAATCGTATTGTCTGAAAATCCACACACGGAGTTCTTTGTGAGCACTTTACCCCTGAAACGGAATTGTCTATATAGGTCCACAATATCCCCCATATAACGGTACTCCCGTATATTCGGTATTTTGATGATTTTACCCACATTTTTCAACGGAATTGTCTGATAATCCACACAAGGAGTTCTTTGTGAGTACTTTACTCCCTGAAAGAGAGTTGTCTGTATAGATCCACGATATCGTATATCCCCCATATAACGGTACCCTCTGATATTCGGTATTTTAATGATTTCAGCCACATTTTTCAACGGAATTGTCTGAAATTCCACACAAGGGGTTCTTTGTGAGCACTTTACCCCTGACATAAAGTTCTCTATATAGGTTAACGATATCGTATAGCCCCCATATAACGGTACCCCCGTTATTCGGTATTTTGATGATTTTAGCCCCCATATAACGGTACCCCCGATATTCGGGATTTTGATGATTTTAGCCACATTTCCCAATGGAATTATCTGAAAATCCACACAAGGAGTTCCTTGTTTTGACATTTTTTTATTTTATTTTTTTGAATATTTTCTAATTCGTTCCAAATGGTGGAGGGTATTCAAAGTTCGGCCCGGCCGAACTTACTGCTTTTCTACCTGTTTTTTTTTTTGGAAATTGCCAAATTTGTACCAAATGGTGGAGGGTATTAAAAGTTCGGCCCGGCCTAACTTACAGCTTTTTTACTTGTTTCGATATCGTAAAGGGAAAATCTTCCTTTTTATAGTTTGACATTAATATGCCTAGACATGATGTCAAGCCGCTTATGTACCGTCAACTTAAGTTTACATTTACATATAAATGGGTTAACCCACTGGATTTTGATTAAAATTGTCATATCCGTCCTTAAATAGGTCATGCTACTAAAGTTCTTGGCCATGCATGTTGAAAACATGTTAATATTTGATTTTTTTTGTCGAACCAATTGAATATTTTACAAAAGTTTTCGAACTTTGGTTCATTTGAAGGCGATTATGAGTATTTGGGTATATTTGTGCGCAACGCAAATTTTTTGATAAAACTCAAAGGGAGAGAATTGAAAGAGAAATTTGATTTTTATTTATATTTTAGTACATTCTTGTCGGCTAAAGTTATGTCTGCAATCTCATACGTTTCTGGCGTGTTTTGATTCATTTTCAGCAGCTGATTGCATACAGGTTATGAAAAATTACCCAAAACCGTATTTGTCTGATTGTAAACAACCAAAAGAATGTGGCCCCTAATATTGCGGTATTGATCAATACACCGTATTTTGGAAACTCAAACCTAATTTAATTCATTATTATTTTACTTAAATGTCAAATTTCTTTACTGTTATTTGTTTTCATGGTGGAGGCTGAACTCTACCCCCATCTTTTCCTTTTCTCTTTGCAATGATAAAAAATAGTATGACTTAAGTTTTTACTTTTGCTTTCCATATTACGGAATAGTACCACTGTTTCCATTTGAGTGCGAGTCTTAGCCTTCAGTTGGTTTAGCTCGTTGTTGGTCGGCTATATGTATCTTATCATTATACCTATGTAGGTATTTTGGCAATTCTCAACGAAAAAGACGGGTATAGAAAGAGCGACAATGAATGCCGTACGCCCAACTAACCAATGTGGAACTCATTCGTGAGTGAGCTCAGTGCAGGAAAATGGGCGAACCTGGCCAACGTATCATTCCTGCATACCTTGACATTGGTTTGCTGCAAGGCCTTACCTAATGGGTTCTGACCTAAAAGAGAGTGCTTCTCTCAATTGAAGATCTATACATTGTCGACGGCAGTCTCTTGTTGTGTCATTTGTTTTTCTACAAATGCCGTTACAATTTTAAGTGTTTTTGCCTTGTATTTGTAAACAAATTGTCACCATCGTGATGCGCTGTACTGATTATGCTGTGTCGTTTTACCTTGACTTTCGCCGCCAACAAGAACAGAGGCCAGCAAAATTTCAGGAAGAATATTTTGCATTTTCATCCCCCCAACCTGCAATAGCTCAGCACTGGCAAGAACCCGCTGCTGCTGATTACGTTCGCACACAATATACCCGAACCCCACCAAGAGCTTCAATTTTCTTTTCTTCACATTTTGTATCTCTACATAAAATATTCGTTCTTGATAAATGTCAAATAAAGGTCAACGATATTTCACAGATGGTGGTGGCGCCTTAACGCTCATCAGCGAGATATGTTCGTATATAAATAATTTGAATAGAGGAATAATTCTAGAATTGTTGAGGTCTTTTGTATCCATTGCGTGTTTTCATCGAAATTATAATTCTTTTTTATTCTCACATTGCACTAACAACAAATGTCAATGCGGAAATCTCTGCACATTTTTTGATCTTTTATGCGGTTTTTTGCTTTGCATTTTTCACTTTGAACTTCAATTCGTTATGCTATTGAAATACGTATCACTCTACAGATCATTACTTTTTTTAAAACAATTATTCATTTAAAATTTTTATCACCTTTTAAAATATCAACTGCCACCAACAACACAAATTTTCGATTCCGTTCCTTCCTCTTTTTTTCAAACAATTGACGTCGGCGTTCGCCTCTCAATTGACAAAAAGAAAGATGTGCCGTAAAAGTTAGTTCTTTCATTTCTGTTGTCGGCCGCTGCTGCTTGTAGCCGCAAAGTTTGTACGCTCGTCAGCATGACCAGAAGCAGCGCAGCAACACCGAATACATAAAGTTCTCTCCGTCTCTTTGAAATAGGGATCTGTAAATTGTTTTACGACCTTAAAGCCTAAAGCCGACCCAATCAAGGTATATTGAATAGGTAGTGAAACTAAACTCGAAAAAAGGTAAACTAGAATCAACAGAACATTCTAACACTATTAAAAGTGGGCACGTAAAATTAAAAAAATTAAAACATTGAAAAAAAAAAAAAAAATACATAAAATATAAAAAAATACATATTTTTGAGAACAACTCATTGGCAACATTTTTATTTATAAATTTATTGTAGGTATTTACACCAATCAGATATGCGAACCTGTTTTAAAGTTAAATTTGACAGAAAAATGCAGAGTAGGATATTTTCACTGGACATGAGTTAAATTTGATTCTACCCATGGTAGAAGAATATAGGTAGACGTATTGACACAATGGCTTAAGTCATCGGCTGGTTTATTCATATTATATCAGAGGATTCAGGCAGGAAGCGGAATGCATCTGTTTTGCCTCCAATGTTCATTTCTAGCATTTCCTTCAAGTCTTCCAATATTTATGTCTACAGGTGAGGAGAGGAATGTATGAAAGTATCAAGGTCAAAGCAGAGTGAACGCGTTCTCAAAGTTCTCAAAACCGGGTTGCTGTTGCACACAAATCACCAAACAAAAAACGTTATACTCATGTTTACTCTTAGAGTAAACACTCCATCTGTTTTGAATGATGATTCAACTAGAGTGGCTCAGGAGTGCTCCCACACAAAACAAAAGAGTGGAAAATAGACCCCGTAAAAAACTCCCACACTTTGAGTAATCCAGCTCACGAGGAATATGAGCAAATCTGAGCTCTGGTTTTTAGAATGAAGTTGTTGAAATACAACGTTTTCTAATATTATCATAAAATGTAAATAAAACGTAGTCATGCTATCATAATGTGGCGTAATAATTTTTCCATACTACCAGCGCCATCTACCGACATAAGGTAACAACTATCTTTTTTATTTGCGTCTTCGATTCGTTATTATATTTTATATGATGGTATCGGTGCTATGTTCTGCTAGATGGCGCTGAAAGTTAAACGTAATTCAAAGACACAAATTCTAATACGATAGGACATTTCCTAGTCGTGCTGTTTCGGTAGATGGCAATAGTTATTATACCATCAGCCATATGGCTAAAGAGGGTATAATCACTTGATACGACCAAAGCATGTCTCATCGAAATAATGGCTTTAGACCCTAGGTCTCTTGGGACCAAATCCGTTTCAGGACATTTCAAGTCAGTCTGCCTGGCTGGCTGGCTGGTGTGCACGATAACTCTCGATGGGAGTCAACATTTTCAAAGAAAATAATTTTCTTACACAGAAAGAGAAAGGATAATCCGATTTTGTTCCACCTGCAAATCATAATATTAACATCTGTGTTTGCCCAGGTATGAAAACGGACAATACCGGTCCACCATATCAAGTACCTTTCCCACAAAGGGTCAAAATTTGGAATAGTTTTAACTCTTATAAAATGTGGTGTAAGAATCCGACTGTCTTGAAATTACACACATCACAATATTTTTATTAATCCAAGGTCTGGTGTGATGATGGTCAAAGTTTTGAACATCCATGAAGCTCATAAAACACTAAATTAACATCCGATTCGAGTCAGATTTAGCACATCAAGATCAGTTATAAAGATGGTAGAGATCGGACCATTGGAGCTATTTTGTTGTTGCAATCTGAATCATCGAAACCCTAGTCAAATGCTTGATATCGCTAAATATTGTATGGACTATTCCCAAACTTGGTCCCGTATCCCATAATAACACCCGTCCTACCTTTAGTCATATCCCTACCCTGATCAAAAATAAGTTTGTGGTATGGCGTCGCAAATAATAACAACAACAATGTCTTACATTTGAAAGGAATGCTGAGGAATGGGGACCACTTCTGCTTACCAAACACTTTTACCCAGATATTAAAATTGAATATAGAAACATTAACCTTGAGCGGATCAGTGAAGCCCCTCGTTTTTGGCCAGAGACTAATAAATAAACACATACGTATATTGTTTCAATTAATATTTTTGATTATTTCATTCATTAGCGTGTCGAAAATGTACATTTGGTTAGGTCTATGTTATAAAAGAGAGTTCGGTATTTAGAAACGACGTCTGTAAACGACGCGTTTAGCAGTCTTGTAGCGGTAGCCATCATTGGCTAATATGGAGGAGTTTTCGAGAGGAGCGACTTCCTCAGCCAACTGATTTTCCTGGACAGGCGGCAAGTATTCGTTGGAGGGCAATTCGTTGACATCACGTCGCTGACGATAACGAATACGCTTCACAGTCTTGTAACGGTAACCGTCGTCGGCTAATACGGCAGTGTCTTGGGTCTTTTCGCTCTCGAAATCGGCAGTTGAAGCCACTGGGATATCGGCTACAAATGGGGCTGGTTGTTGAGGTGGTAAGTATTCGTTGGCGGGCAATTCGTTTACATCACGACGATGACGATAACGGATACGCTTCACAGTTTTGTAACGATAACCATCATCGGCTAGCACGGCCGATTCTTCGGCTGGGGCAGGAACTTCTTCGACGACTTGAGTTTCTTGTGCAGGGGGCAAGTATTCGTTGGCGGGCAATTCGTTTACATCACGACGATGACGATAACGGATACGCTTCACAGTCTTGTAACGATAGCCATCATCGGCTAATACGGCCGATTCTTCGGCTGGGGCAGGAACTTCTTCGACGACTTGAGCTTCTTGTGCAGGGGGCAAGTATTCGTTGGCGGGCAATTCGTTTACATCACGACGATGACGATAACGGATACGCTTCACAGTCTTGTAACGATAGCCATCATCGGCTAATACGGTCGATTCTTCGGCTGGGGCAGGGACTTCTTCGACGACTTGAGTTTCTTGTGCAGGGGGCAAGTATTCGTTGGCTGGCAATTCGCTTACATCACGACGGTGACGATAACGGATACGCTTCACAGTTTTGTAACGGTAACCATCATCGGCTAATACGGCCGATTCTTCGGCTGGGGCAGGAACTTCTTCGACGACTTGAGTTTCCTGTGCAGGGGGCAAGTATTCGTTGGCGGGTAGTTCATTGACATCACGCCTTTGGCGCAACCGCAAACGTTTCACTGTCTTGTAACGATAGCCGTCATCTGCCAAAGGACTTGACTCGCTTATTGATTGCAAATCAACATTGCTAGTAGGTGACGAATCCTCCAGAGGAGGCAAGTATTCATTGGTCGAGACCAAAGCGGCACAAGCCGTCCCCAAAATAACAGCTAGGAAAACGAAAGTCAGCTTCTGTAATTGTCAAAACAAAATAGTTTAGTCCAAAAATTTCAAGCACGTTTTGATTGTTGTAGCTACCATTTCGCTTTTGAAATGCCACCAGATGCCACCTTCAAATGCTAAAAGACGATTGATAATGAAATCTATTCGCAAAGATCTTTATATAGAAACACACTATCCCCTCCAGATGACCTGTCCTCTTGCCAAATAAGAGCTAAAGACAAACATGAGAGCAAAGAATAAAAAAACAACAACAGCAACAACAAACAATGGCACTGTTTATGAACGAGCCAACGTTATACGCATTAGCATTTCCAAACAATGCGAGCAGACCATCGTACGCTGGCTGGTTGGTGCTACACATTCACCTCTTCTTTCTTGACTTATTTCTCGTTCGATCCATTCAGAGGTTTGAGCGATTTGATAGAACAACATCTTCAGAAGACGACATTTTTAAAGTGGTTTCTGCCGGCACATAGAAATGGCCATCTGCCATTCCAATTGAAACAAGAACACTTGAAGCCGAGTTTGGATGGGCTGAGGTGATTTGAGCGATTGGTTCGGCTTGTTACAAAAATAAGGAAATGATTAAATTGTTCTATGCGCAACTCCAAACATTGCGTCAGTATAGAATGTTTGATTGAACCCAGTAAACAATTTTTGCCGAATTCGGTCCGATTTCTGTCAGAATCTCTGAAAAAATGTCCGATTCTGATTCCGAATTCCTTCCGATTTCGGTACGAAAGTTGTATGGACGTGGTCACCGAATTCGGAAAGATTTTCTGAAAAAAATCTGAAAAAATATTAGATTTTCTGGACGAATTCGGTCCGAATTCGGTGAAAATTCTTGAAAAAATAGGAGAAAAAATTAGATTTTCGGAAAAGATTCGGAGGACAACTCCGAACTTAAGTTCGTTTTTAAGTTCCATAAACATTCATACACACACATATGCGTCTGTTGTTGTTTAATAAGCAGATCACACGTGCGTGGCACATAAGTATGTATGTATGTATGGGTAAGTATTCCAATTTCTCAATTTGTAGTAGAATATGATTCTACTCGTTGGATTTCATTATTATCTGACGCCACAGAAAGACTTGACGGAGGCAATTGGAATGAGGACACATGCATAAATGCTGTGTTCCAGAACCACCGGGGTACATCGGCTATCGAAGTAGAATTGTTAAATTCTTGCAACAGAAACTTTCAAAAATTGATTTTTCGTATCACAATTTTTGTCCGCCGTACCCACTTACAAACTAACGTACTTAACGTACATTGTCGGTCCCAAAATATGTTTGACGACTAAAAGTCCACGTGGAAGTGGAAAAAACATTTGATTTATTTTTTGTTTCCTTTTCCATAGTCCGCTTTATTAGACTGTCCGGTGTTGGTATTAAATTCGCAGTCCTCTAATTTTCATTATTTGACGTAGAGCTTCAAGAAATTGTACAACAATTTGTATTGCTTTTAGGATACTTGGTATAGAAAATGAAATATCGGCCCAGGTTTTCGTATAGCTTCCACATAACGTATGTCTTTGTGCATTGGTTTGTAACATGGAGAGGGTCTGCATAGATATGATATGATATATATATATATATATATATATATATATATATATATATATATATATATATATATATATATATATATATATATATATATATATATATATATATAAATAAATATATATATGTATATATATATATATATATATATATATATATATATATATATATATATATATATATATATATATATATATATATATATAACGGCTTCCCTCACTTTATAATTTTTTCAAAACTTTTACTGCACTATCCAAAGGTCTTACTGGTGTTTGTAGTTCAAAGTGGGACAATTTGAATTCAGATACTTTTATTTAAAAATGTTTTCTATACCCAATGGGTGGAGGGTATTAAAAGTTTGGCCTGGCCAAACTTAATGTTTTTTTTTTTACTTGTTCGTGATTTTCCTTGTCAAAATTTACTGCATAGAGAACTGGTTCTCATCTTCTGTAAGTCTTTCGGTACTTTCCGACCAGAATGTGTAAATTTCATACGCAAGAGTATCATATGAAAATTAAAAATAAAACTATTTCTATTGGTAGATCTTATCACTACTTCGTTTTCGGCGATAACTTACCGACGTTTTTGTTTTTTAATTTCTTAAATGATTAGCACTTGAAAAATTGGCGTTATCGATAATTACAGTAGCGCGATGCTCTAACTAGTCAACGACAATAATCGACAGCAGTAATTTTTCAATTGCTTATATTTTCCGTAAATTACAAAAGTTGTCGATAAGTTAGCGACGAAGATAAAAAAAGGTTTCAGAACCTGCAAGAATCTTCCAGTTTCACTACAAATTTTTGCGATATAATAAAGGACAAATCCGTTATCGCAGTATAATTTATTTTATATTCTTGAACTTCTGGAGCAGAGCAAATGTAGTCGCTAAGATCTGCGGACAAAACAATTTTCGTAACTTTCAACTTCGCCTTTGAAAGTCCACTATGGATTTATGGACATACATTTTGCCAATCAGATATTTTATATTTCTGAAAAAATTATAAACATATGATTGCACGAGGTTACATTCTTAATTCCACCATGTAATCTGGGGCTAGTTTAAAAATTTACACATTCGATTTTATTAAACATTTATTTCCAAAAAATCAGTCGTGAGTAAAGAGCATAAGACACTAACAAAACAGAACGTTCCAACAATAACACTAATGACGACGAACTTTGAGTTTCTTAACGGCCTTGTAGCGATAACCATCATCGGCCAGAACAGTTTGTTCTTCGGCAACAGCGGCAGGAGCTAAATATTCATTCGAAGGAGCAGCAACTTCAATAGTTGCTTCTTGTGCAGGTGGCAAATATTGGGACAACTCGCTAACATCACGTCTTTGACGGTGACGTAGGCGACGCACTGTCTTGTAGCGGTAACCATCATCGGCCAGAACAGTTTTTTCTTCGGCAACAGCGGCAGGAGCTAAATATTCATTGGAAGGAGCAGCAACTTCAATAGTTGCTTCTTGTGCAGGTGGCAAATATTGGGACAACTCGCTAACATCGCGTCTTTGACGGTGACGAAGGCGACGTACGGTCTTGTAGCGATAACCATCATCGGTCAGAACAGTTTGTTCTCCGACAACAGCGGCAGGAGCTAAATATTCATTCGAAGGAGCAGCAACTTCAATAGTTGCTTCTTGTGCAGGTGGCAAATATTGGGACAACTCGCTAACATCGCGTCTTTGACGGTGACGAAGGCGACGTACGGTCTTGTAGCGATAACCATCATCGGCCAGAACAGTTTGTTCTTCGGTAACAGCGGCAGGAGCTAAATATTCATTCGAAGGAGCAGAAACTTCAATAGTTGCTTCTTGTGCAGGTGGCAAATATTGGGACAACTCGCTAACATCGCGTCTTTGACGGTGACGAAGGCGACGTACGATCTTGTAGCGGTAACCATCATCGGCTAGAACAGTTTGTTCTTCGGCAACAGCGGCAGGAGCTAAATATTCATTGGAAGGAGCAGCAACTTCAATAGTTGCTTCTTGTGCAGGTGGCAAATATTGGGACAACTCGCTAACATCGCGTCTTTGACGATGACGAAGGCGACGTACGGTCTTGTAGCGATAACCATCATCGGCCAGAACAGTTTGTTCTTCGGCAACAGCGGCAGGAGCTAAATATTCATTGGAAGGAGTAGAAACTTCAATTGTTGCTTCTTGCGCAGGTGGCAAATATTGGGACAACTCGCTAACATCGCGTCTTTGACGGTGACGAAGGCGACGTACGGTCTTGTAGCGGTAACCATCATCGGCTAGAACAGTTTGTTCTTCGGCAACAGCGGCAGGAGCTAAATATTCATTGGAAGGAGCAGCAACTTCAATAGTTGCTTCTTGTGCAGGTGGCAAATATTGGGACAACTCGCTAACATCGCGTCTTTGACGGTGACGAAGGCGTCGTACGGTCTTGTAGCGGTAACCATCATCGGCCAGAACAGTTTGTTCTTCGGCAACAGCGGCAGGAGCTAAATATTCATTGGAAGGAGCAGCAACTTCAATAGTTGCTTCTTGTGCAGGTGGCAAATATTGGGACAACTCGCTAACATCGCGTCTTTGACGGTGACGAGAGCGACGCACGGTCTTGTAGCGATAACCATCATCGGCCAGAACAGTTTGTTCTTCGACAACAGCGGCAGGGGCTAAATATTCACTTGAGGGAGTCTCAATGTCCAATGACTGGCTAGCCTCTTGTAATGCTGGAGGTAAATATTCTGAGCTTGGTGCATATTGGGCAGATGCCAAAGCAGCCAGAGCAAATCCAACCACTAAAAGTTTCTGTAGAAAAACAAAAGGCGATGAATAGGTGAAAGGTCGAACATTGCCGTTGCGCTGCTTAATCTTCTTACCATGTTATGCGACTTGAGCACTCGTTATTCGTCGTAGAACTCCAATGGCTGTCTGATGAAATGCTCCATGGCCTGGCGGATTTATACACAAATTCTGCGATTTGTCGAACACCTATTATGCTGGTGTTAAAAATAGTGCCGCAAATGATTGCTTCTTGTTTCGATACCCTTCTTGTGAACACTGCCATTGTTTTGGCCAATGATTTCGGCATTCATCTCCGAGAATGTGTTCGGTTGAATGTTGGCTGGTATCATCGCAACTCCAAGCCAAAGTCGGAAGTAATATCAGAACGCATTAAAATAACGATCCACAGCAAGCAATGGGTCAATAAACTGTTCTATTGTTTTGTTTTGTTGGTTGATTTGTTTTCGTGCTGTTTCGGTGCCTAAAGTGTTGCAGTGACTGTCGGACAGACTGAAGATGGAGCAATTGGTGGAATGAAGACTTTGTTGGGAAGCTTGTTAAGGGTCGTTGTCGTCACTTCGAACAATAATATAATGGGAATATGGGTTACAAGGTGGCCCTAAAATGTAGCAAAGCCGGCACCGATTGCGGCAGTGCGAGTCGTGTCGTCTCCTAGATCCAATCTCTAAGCATGTGTCATATTTTTCGATATTCTGATATCAAAAATAAAACTCAAAATTCTTCGTGTTTTAATCAGCTGGCTTTGTATTTAAATTCAATGGTGGGAGGTGCTCTGTTTACTGGAAGAAGATCGCTTGAGTCGTAATCATTTTTAAGCTATCGCGGCTATATCGGTCTGATGATGGATATGAAGATAATCACTACCCACTTTTTTACCACAAAAGAAAAGCAAAGAAGACAACAAAATACCAAATGAAGAGCTATTCATTTCTGGCATGGACAAAGACCGCAAGATGATCATTTAAATTCGAATATTTGGGAAGATAACAAGTTCATTGACTTGTGAACACTGTCGTTGTATCTGATCGACATTTGCTTAATGGCTGGTATTGAAGTACACTGGCCAAATTTATCGTTGTCAATGAAGACGACGATTGGCAATCTCATTGGTCGTCTGTTCATAGGTCGAACATCCCACTCGTCTTTCTTTCCAATCATGCCACAGCCAGAAGGGTTAGTTTAAGTCAAAAATGGAACTCTTTACTGAAGTCTTATTGTGTTTTGTTTCCTTTACGAATTTTTCAACAACATCTTTACATTGGAATGGATCGTACAACTATTTAAAAGAATAAATAATTGAATGCAACATTTTTTTTCGTGGTTGAAAATACCGAAGCCACTCAATTCTAAAAGGTTAAAATATGACATGAACTGTCGGATATTTGTCAGTCGAAAATTGTTCCATAATAAAAGATAAGTGATAATTACGTGGTGACATCGACAAATATATAACTTTACAATGCTATTATTTCTTAGATTTAAAGCTAGGCAGTTGGCGTAGTACGATAATACGACAGTAGCAAAGACCTATAGAAGGTCACCCAATAAGACCTATTTTGACAACAATTTGACAATTTGATACTTATGCATATACCCGTTTTCATCTACCATGACAGTTAACAAAACATAAGTCGTATTAGAAATTTCAATTACAGACCACAACGAGTGGATACAGAATGTTTAGTTCAAATTAGGGTGCATTAACAAGCTGCTTTAAATGAATGTCGGTCACATGTTATTCTGTCATTTTTTATACCCTCCAACATTCTCGAAATATTTATAATAGACCCTACAAAGTATATTCTGGATCAGCGTAAAATTCTAATACGATCTAGCGATGCCCGTCTGTCTGTCTGTCTGTTGTAATCACACTATCTTTCGAACGAATTGAGATAAAAAGCTAAAATTGTGCATATATGCATAGTTTACCAGCATGCAGGTTAGGTTCGTAAATGGGCCATGTCGGCTCATGATTTCGTATAGCCCCCATATGACGGAACCTCAAAATACTCAGTATTTTTATGATTTGTGCGACATTATTCAATGAAATTGTAACAAATTTCGTATTTAAAGTTCGTAATGGGTACTATAGCCCATGACAAAAAAGCTTAGCGGCTTTTTTACTTGTTTATATTTTCGTACGTTTACTTCCCAATTGGCATGCATTTTGACGATTCGGAGGAAGTCGGTTAGTCTAGCCGGGTGACCTAATAGATAGGCTCTGGTTTAAACATTGAAGGAAAGATCTGCGAAAAAAGAGATTGGGTTATCAGTACGAATGGCTCCCAAAAAATATTTTATTTAAAGGCTTTTACTCAGACGCTGGAAGTTCTCTCAGTGTAAACAATTCCAAATTGCGAAAGAGAAGAAGAAAAAACCTTTGTTATTGAATAGTCGGCCGAAAGTCGCGTGGCTCTCAGACGACACACTGTCTCTAATATTTATGCAAATGAATGATTTATTCGAAAAAGAAAGAGAGCCGTGCCGCTAACCTTTTATCGCCCTCATTAGCAACTGATACAAGTTAGAAACTAACATGAGTATGCAAAGTATCTACCACATACTCACCTCTCACCTATCCACCTTTTCTCACCTTTTCTGTAGGGTGATTCTGTAACAAAAATACAAGCTCATAAGAGTTTAATGAAATTCAACAACATTGAATTCTGGATCTGTCGAAAGCTTTCATTGCCCAGTTGGGATGAATGAAATTGCTCCGCTGAGAATGAGATCTCGGCGTACATACATGCATATCTACAGAATTAACTAGGAATGGTCCATGGAACTGAAAGTTCCACGAATATTTATACTGACCGGATTTATATAGAAGTGTGGAGTGTGTTGTGGACTTCGTGTGTGCCGATGTGAAAGATAAGCATATGGATTGAGGCATTAGCCAAAACAAAGTAGTTAATGGGCCCTCAGTATCTTGCTTTGTTTCGCTTCTAATGTTTTAAACAATAATGTGTGTTCGATCATTTGTTTCCAATTCTAGTGGAATTCTATGAAAAAAAAAAAACAAAATCTAGCTAAGCATTCTGACGTTCTCCAAGTGGATAATAGCTCTTCATTGAATTATGTCGGAAGTGATTAAAGATTTGTATCACTGGTAGACATGCCATAATTATTGAAGGTGTTCATTGGACTAAATTGGCAGAAACGCACACATACGCGCGAACAAACACTTGCGCTTACATCTATGCCAATTCAAAAGATATTAATGGAGGCGTCGAAACACAATAGCTATTCATCAACTATTAAATGAAGAAGACAATTTGACAGATTTGAAGAGCAAAGCCATCCATGGCTAGTTGTCGTTCTCTATCTGGTTTACGAATGTTGTCGTTCATTATCGTCGACGGGCGATCGGAATGATCAGCTCAGAATATTTGATCAATTTTATTGTCGTTACACGTTTGAGTTCAATAAGCCATCAACTAAAGTCTTCCTAGAATTTATGGCCCAATTTATGAGGTTCTACAGTACCTTTACCTATCGATGGGTCAACCCACTGGTTTTGTATTAAAATTGTCACATTCATTTCTTCTACTTCAAATAAATCCTCTTAAGGTAGGTTAACCCTACAAATAGTAAACATGGTATTACACCAGATTAACAAAACTTGCTAACGTTTTGTTAACTCTTTGTCGATCCTGTGTTCTTCGCTCCAAGTGCAATTAGTATTTTGTTTGCGCTGGCATGCTGAAATTAGGTGTGCCTGATTACCTCAGAAATTCGTAACAATTCGTGCAAAAGAGAGCGATTCGAGAGAGAAATTTTGACAGTCCTTTCATTGAGAGTGTGTAAATTCTAGCTGGGTAATTTCTTTCTTGCAATATATATATATATATATATATATATATATATATATATATATATATATATATATATATATATATATATATATATATATATATATATATATATATATATATATTCTGTGTATGTATATATATTCTGTGTGAGCGTAACATTCTAAATCGATCTAGCGATGCACGTCTGCCTGTCTGTTGTAATCACCTATCGTTCAAACGAATTAAAATAGAAGGCTGAAATATTGCATTTTGCCAGTAGGCAGTCTACGTTTTCGTATAGCCCCCATACAATGGTACCTCTCAATATTCGGTTTTTGATGATTTAAGTGACTTTATAGACGGGAATCGTTTAAATATTTCAAGTTCCTTCCAAATGGTGGGTGGTATGAAAAGTTCGGCAAGCCCGGTGCTTTTTTACTTGTCAATTTCACGTGCTTCATTTCTCTTAGTTACGGATAAATTATTTTGTTTTGAAAACTCAGCTGGTTGATTGGAAGTTTCTGCAGGGAATCCGTTTGTTTACTTTTCAGAGCTTCCTTACTCTTTCAGAAAGAAACTGCTGGACAATCCCTGCAGGAAAAGTAACCAGACAAATCTATTATTGATCTTGGAATATAGATTGGCAGCCAAGATTGACACTTATAGTGGGTTTACATGCACAATGTTTAGCCAGGTTAACTGTGACAATTAACCAACCAGAATAAATTGAACATTTGTTTAGATGTGTATGTAAACCTACTTTTACTTTTTAAGAAAACGTCTGATTTCAAAAATTGTCTGAATATTTGAAATTTAGAATAGGCTGGAATACTGTAAAATACGTGGTCTCGACCCCGAATGCTTATGTTAGGGTTAAGTTTCTTGGCTAACTTGCTTAACATCTTTATAAAAACATAATTGTTATGACAGGAAGCAAAGTTTTTTTTTTTTTCAAACTATCGCAGTTCAAGGTTACTGCAATCCGTAACTAACTGTCAAACCAAATTTGAAATTAAAATTTTTGAATGGAAAATTATTGAAGTTTGTAAAAATTGTTAAACAAAAGAGATGATATTACCTTTTTTTAAAATTTTTTACAAATTTAAATAATTTTCCATTCAAAATTTTCAAGAAGGAAACTTGACCCTAACAACCTCCGAATGACATCTTTTAGAGAACAAATCTTTTTTTTTGAAAAGGCATTTGTAAAATTGTTCACATATAAATTTTCCCAAGCATTGATGCATCTACCTGTATTTTTCTACCAAAAGGAGACTATTTCTCTTAAATATTTTAAAGAAGCAAGCATTGATTACGAAAATCGAGGTTCCGAATAAGAGCGCGAGTAAAATAACGGAAAGGACATCAATACGCCCGTTTCTTATTGTTTTGTTATTAGAGAAATGTTGTACACTTCAACGTTAGGTTACAATCAACGCAAGTTCGAAGACGGGCCACATCTTTAAACATTTCGCTATGACCCCTATATAACATTACATCCCGACCCCTGGAAATTTTTTTTACATAACGAGTTACTAGCGCAGATAAGTAGCTAATGACTTTTTAATCAGTACGGCACACCGGAACAAACTGTACCGTTCTGACAGCTCCCCTGAAGATAAAATTAAGAAAGAGGTGTGCGATTTGGTGTCATATTCAAATGTCAGAATAAAGGCAGCAGTGAACACCAACACTGGGTGCCGCCATAAAATGAACATACGATTACATGACTTTTCCGATACGCTGGACGTCTCTAGGGTTGCTGGTTTAGCCGGTAACGTAGCAATCAAATCGACTTGGAGTAGTTGAATTTATTCGTGACCCTATTTCCCTCAAATGGATGTTGGGTCATTTGAATGGAACACGTTCCTTTAATAGCCTTCATCATTTGTTGCATCTTCAATTCGATTCCACTTTCGTTGTGGAGAGCGTGGTTTGGTAGCAAGTACTTCAGTATTTCCTTGCCATCTGCTCCATTGACCGTCATTAAATTGGTCGACAAAGCATTGTCTGTCGGTCCGGCAGCAGGCATTAATGGCATAGCAGTGAGTAAGATTTGTATACACACACACAAACACACACACACACACACACACATATATATATATACGCATATATATATATATATATATGTATTAATATTTAATTTGTATATTCGCACACACATATGTATATATGTGCATACATATGTGGCATTATAATCTATTTTCCATGCTGTCTGTTGCCAAAGTTCGTCGGAGGGCTTGTCGCTGTTGCTGTTTGTCGTTTTTACAATAACGGACTGGTTTGGCCTTTGCAAAGTTTTGTGTTTAATATTTTAAACAAAAGTTGATAGTGTTACAGCTTTGTTTGGTTTTTGCCATCTCTTTTATGGCTAAACTACACAAAATATCCATTAGATTGGTGGCCAGCATCATGTTTATTTAATGTTATGATTGTTTGTTGTTATTGCTGTTCGAGGACACGTTAGTAGGACAGAAACAAAGTAGTGATGCCCCACGCACACGCACACACACATGCACTGTGTATGTGGTAACCACCGTAACTCAACGGAGGCGTCTACGTCAATATTACCCCAAATCAAATCAGCCCAACTCCGCTCCCTTTGCTGAAACCATAAGGAGTTGCCAATCACTTGATGGTAATCAGCTTAGAAAGGACGCACCGGACCTTTAATATAATTCAAAATACCAAAAAAAAAAAAAGAAACTCTTCTCAAATGACATGTGTTGGAGCTTGGGGGGCGGCAGAACGTAATCCCACTATTGCCAAGTTTGCATAGCCAGCATTAGAGCCCTTGCATTTGGCCGGCTGTGGCTGCTGTGTCCGCACAACAGATCCATTTTACATATTCAAATCCTATTATGTTAATATATTTTATTTAATATTTAATCTGTGCTGAGAAAACCCATTCTTCATTTTCCATTGTTGTGGTTGCATACGGAAGGTAACCGGAAGTCAGTTTTGAGGTTTTCTTACTATTTTCTAGCAGCTCTTGCAAAGTCACATATTATCGATAATTCTTACATAGATTTACAGTGGAAATCGTTTCTTTAGAAATAGTTGGTCATTATTTTTATGGCTACAATAAAGCGTCTGTGTAAAGAAGAAGAAAAAAAAAAAAAACAATCTGTGTTTGCACATTTTTCTCAACTGCGAATGGAATAAAGAGAGAAGGGAATATGCCAATGAAAATGGAAATGGGCCGAGACGGTTTAACGTGGAATTTAATTATGCTTTAAGACACAATTCTAAATAGTCACCCAATCATTTTGAATCTCAGCTAGAAATACTTTAAATGGATGCATATTTTGGCAGCAGCTAAACGATGTCAGGTGTAGACTGACCCATAACTTTTCTCAATATTCTAACTTAGTAGAAATCCTATCAAACTCAATCAGCCGCTCAGATGTAACAGGTTGATTTCAGTTGTGAGCAAACACGAATTGATTGAAGCTTTGTTTTTGCAATCAAATAGTTGAGTATGATTCTGATGATGATTCGGTTTGATTCTTCCCTGCAAAGTGAGTAATTTGATTAAAACACAAAGGTTGGTATCTAAGCGAAATCACGATTGTTATTTTATTAAGCATTTCATAAGTAGAACCAGTAAAGAAAGTCTTGTCCGACTTTATGATACCCTACACCACTTTGCTAATTTAGAAGAGCTCCACATAACAATCAAAAGTTTTTACAGGAGAATTCATTCATACACGCCATGATTACAATTATAATTTAAAGTTCAAAAGAAAAATATGCCGAAGCATTTGTATCTTTTAAATTTGGACTTGTATTGCCCATTTGATATATATATGGGAGCTATATCCAAATCTGCACCGATCTTGATAAAATTTGGCAAAGACATTTCTGAGCTGTATTTCATATATTTCCCTGAATATCGTTGTTACGGAGTGCATATTACGGCTGTGGTAACAAATATAACAAACCGGATGAACAATATATATGGGAGCTATAGCTATATCTGAACCGATCTTCACCAAATTTGACATACTAGCTTCTAGTCGTAAGTGCAAATATTAGACGTTTTACCTTTTTATCGGACGAAATTATATGTGGGAGATATATCCAAATCTGAACCGATCTCGATAAAATTTAGCTATTGCTACATCTGAACCGATTTCGATCAAATTTGGCATATTTATTTTAAGGCCTAATTTGGTTGTATGTGCAAAATTCCATACTATTCGAGCTGATATTACACGTTGGGTGCACAATAAATGGGTTTGTCCTTGGGCCAAACAAATGATTTGTGCAAAATTTCATCTGGATCGGGTAATAAATGCGAACTGTACTTTGTTCACAAAAATGAATGGATAGACGGATGGACGGACATGAATAATTTCGACTCAGAATGTTTGAATATTATTTTTTTGAGTTTACAAGTTTGACAAAAATATTACGATGTACAAATCACAGTTGTTATTGCTCATTTCAATTCACGTGTTCGATCAACTCATGTTGCTGAACAAATCGAACGCTCTCAAACACACATGTCTGATACGAGGGAAGTGATTCAAACTGAGTGTCCGATACAATCCGAGTACGGTTGAATTATTCATACTCGTTGCAGCCCCCGGATGTGGGTCAAAGTGGAGGCTATATGAATAGAATCTACGAGGATTCCCATAGTGTGTGTTCCAAAAAGGGTCCTGTGTTCCAAAAGTTCCTTCTGATTTTCTTTCTTAATTTTCCGAAATTTCCACTGTTTGTTTAATTTGTTTACCCAAAAATGTAGAAAATAATAATGAGCTGTTCGAAATTTGTGACAATTTCTAAATTTAGAGTCTACACAAGTACACTGGAAGACTTTTGTTCATTTAGGTTTTGCAAGTACCCTCAGTGGTGCGATTCTCTAACTCATTTTTTGAGTTGCCGACATAAATCGGTAAAATTATAACTCTTATAATTTCGGTAATTAACGAAATTGTTCGGTTATATTGTTAGCGACCAAAATCAAGTAGTCGTTAAGTCCTACCGATAGCAACAGCGCTGTCAACTTTAATTTGCACTTTTCAATCATAACTTTGCTTTATCATTTTACCGATATTTGTCGGTAACTCAAAAATGAATTAGAGAACCCCACTACGCGCGTCTTTTTCAAAAAAATTTCAGACATTTTGTAGAACATATTTCGATTTCCCCGCAAACGGAATTGTTTTCACTGAATGTTGTAATTTCACTTTTTTTAACATTTCGATGAGAATAAATAAAACGTGCCTTTCTCTCTCTCGGAGGACTTGCTTTTAACGATTTTCAAATAAACAACTCTGTACACACCTACGATTGCTCTGTTGCAGAGCCTGCACTTCCTTTATCAATTGCAAAATTAGTAGATTCTGTCAGGGTCATCATCATCCTTTCAGCTGACGACTTCTCGGGTTGTACTCTGGTTTTGTTGACAGTCAACTGGACATGTGCATGTGTATGTATGCATATATGTATGTATGTGTATGTATGGGCGCTAAATGAAATTCTCATTGCACCATTGAATGGAGCAAATTAAATACGTATGTCCTTTTCTCGGCACCCGCTTTCGCTTACTCATTGTGATGTGGCTTTGTTTCCCACCAATAATCCATGGCATTAATTTGTGAACTTTTACAGATGATGATATGCGGAAACATTTGTGGACGAATTGGCTATAACGTTTATATTCTATGGGCTTCCAGAGAACATAAAATCTGATACAAGCACATGTGTGCGTGCGAATGTGTGTTGGCCCGATTGTAAGCGATTGAATTAATGCACTTTGCGTGCCTGGGCCAAGTTAATTAGAAATGCCCATAATGCGGTGAGGCACGTAACAGTTGCTCTTCATGTTCGTCTATGCGACACTCGTACATATGTGTGTGTGTGTATGTATGTATGTATGTATACATACACATATAAGCATATTTGGCTAGCCATATATTGTCTTCCTTTAAGGCACATCCAATCGTTTACCACTGTTCAGTACCAAACCCATCGAATTATGTTGGATAGCTGGCCATAAATCCTATTGATATTTGGATAGGAAACGATTGTTCAGTTGTGGTGGTCCTCCCATCAATAAAGCGCTGCCTTCTTCCTATTGTTTGTCGGCAAATAGGTGTGCGAACATTTTCAATCATTTGTGGAACCGGTTTTTTTTATCAATCGGTATGCTATTGATAGCACAATACCAGACTGGCTACAGTTTATTTTGAGGGAACCCAAACTGGATATTCTGGGGAATATTTCAGGGTCAGACAGAGAGGATACGTGTCGGACATTGCTAAAAAAATCAATATTTTCGTTACGATTTCAGCTGGTTGAACCAACATTTCGAACCGGATCAATTGATGATCAATGACATCACTAAGTTCTGAATTAGAGTTTTGTTAGAAGTTGTTGTTTTTTCATTGTTTCCTTCGTTAATGGGTCTGACATGTGGCTGTGCGAGTGTGTGTGTAGGAGGTTATGGCGACCGTTTGTTGCTTTTCCAATTGAAAGTGATGGAATCGAATTGAATGTTGCCTGTTTTGTATGTCACAAACATCGGTTTCATAAATAAAAATTTTATTCGAGCGTTCGTGCAGTTAATCATAAAGTCACGTTTGCCATAAATAACACAGAAACAGAACAAACGACAGCCCGAACGACCGAACGAGCGACCATCTGAGCAAAAAGAGAATTTAAATCCAAAGCAAATGCACGAAATCGAGAAGAAATGAAGTGTCACAAACAAAACGCCAAAAGAAGTTAATAATGATGAGAACATGTGATGCTGACACAATTACCGATGGCACAAATTTGGGAGTCAGTGAGTGAGTGAGTGAGTGAGTGCGTGCGTGTGTATGATCCATGCGTTGTCATTGGTTGTTGTTGGTATGCAAGCGTAAAGTTAGTGTCCCCCGGTGTTGGGTAAAAATCGTATTATATTTAACGGCATATTTTTGTAAAAAAAGTTCCTTTCACTCGAATCGTCCGTATTCCAACGTATTTGTTCTAATTTGAGTTTTTATATACAGGGTGAGATGAAAAAACTTCAACCAACTTCAG